GCTCTCATTTTCTAATTTTACTGGAGACGGGGTCATATCAAATTTTTTAGGTTTCTTGCCAGCAGGAGCAGGGCTCTCAAATTCTAAATCTTCTGGCTGTTCAGGGAGGCTGCTAGGCATGCTGTCCGACAGTTCAGCAGAATCTTGGACAGAAAAGCCCTTTGCTGGCGATTCAAACTGGATTGATCTTTTAACTGCAACAGTGAAAATAAATTAGACAATGTACCCTAATAATGTAACACTGAACTGCTGGAAAATTGTCTAACCTTTACTCTTCCCTGTAGCACTGTTAGTGGAGAGGGCATTTACAAGTCTCTCAGTCAGTTTTAAATTCACTTTAGAGTACCGCTGAGAATCTTCTTTCAACCCATTGATAGTGCGCTGTTGAGTTTTGACAGTTTCCTCAAGACTTTCCAGCGTATTTTGAAGTAAACGGGTTTTAGATTTTTCTCGTTTCAATTCTGATTCCAACTTCCTCATTTTATTGTAGTAAAGTTCTTTTTCAGCATCAGTCTCTGAGCCAGACTGCTCTGAGCTTTGGGAATTACTTGTTGAGGAATCACATTTTTTATGGGTCCCCTGCAATAAAATGTATATCAGAATTTAATCTCACACCATCAGGACAGACTAATCAGACACTACACAACACACCTTAGGACGACGATTCTTAGGCACAATTGAAGAACACGTCGAAAGGCTGCTGGTCGAAGTCTTCAACCATAGGGACATCGGGCAGGAAAAAAAATCAGAATCAGGTGAAAAAGAAATTAAATACAGATTAGATTATTATCCATTATACTACTATATCATACCTGCTTCCCTGGTGAAGAATTTAAAGTTTTAATCAAAACTTTCTCACTAGGAGACTCAGTCAATGTTGGTTCACTTTTGACAATTACAGCAGACCTTTCCTTTAAATCCTTAACAAACATAACACAATAATTAGGAACACTTCTGAGAAATGCAGCTACAGGCGCGGATCCAGGGGGGGGCAATTGGGGCAATTGCCCCCCCCAAAGCCTTCGGAAGGACGGAAAAAATAGAGAAGGGAAAGGAGGGAGAAGGAGAGAGGAGGAGAAGAGAAGAGAGAGGAGGAAGAAGGGGGGTAAAGGAAAAGGAGAGGAAAAATAAGTAGGAAAGAAAAAGTTTTTAAAAATATAGGTCTTTTTTTGGAACTGTCAGGCAGCAAGGAAACATTTAGACAAGTGAAATAATTTGTTCTTTGATTCTGAATTTAAAAATTTTGTTCACCTTTGTACACCACCATATAAAATATTTTTTATTTTTGAAAGCTTTTATATAGGAAGATTCTTTTTTTTCCTCCGTAGGACACAAGACAATTGGTACTCTTCAGATTTTTTTCTAAGTTTGTTTCGTTTGCGGTAATGGTGACTTCTTGTCTGACTTTACTTAGATTTGGTCACAACTTTAAATCGTATTTTTCAGAAATTTTTTCGCTCGCTTCGCTCGCGACGGCTTCTATAATTTCCCTTTTCACTAAGGTTGTGGTCCCAATTTTAAAACATGGTTTCAAATTTTTTTTTTCGCTCGCTTCGCTCGCGACTGATTCTTTTAACTGACTTTGGAGCATCAGGAGCATTTTACAAGTGTCCTTCATCATTTTGGAAAATAGGTGTTTGCTCTTTCAAAATTGGCAGTTTTTTTATTAACTTCCCCCTGTGAGTTAGGCAACCAACACGACACATTCAGAAAAATGCCCCCCCTATAACCTTTCGCTGGATCCGCGCCTGTGCAGCTATTTACAATGTGATATAATGCTGATGACACTCACCTCATCGCAGGAGCCGCATTCATCAATAGCATTCAAAAACTTCCCCATCGGAGAATATTTAAATGATTGATCCCCTAATGCACCCAAGCCGGTAGGTTTTCCAGGAGAATGTTTAACAGATGTCAAATCAGTTTCTCTTGCCTTGATAGTGGTCTGAATAAAATAGAATAAAATAAAAACAAGCAAAGTAAAAAGGGATAAAGTTAGTTCATATATGTGATTGAAGAGACACACCTGTTTACTATTGGCTGACTCCGAGTCAGTTGCTGAGTCTTGCTGCTGAGACTTCGAATTTGACGATCTGGGTACATCAGATCTGAACAATACTTGGTCATCATATTTTGCCAGGGTCTTCTGTTGCCGCTTATCTCTGGAAGCTTCTTCAGCAGCTAAAGACTTCTTTTTCTGAAATCAGAATGGAGTTATGACAATTTGAAGTACATAAATGCATCTGTACAGCGAGGAACTTCATACCTTCTTGGACATCCGAGGATCTGGCGCAGCACGGTCAGCACTACTGTCAGCAGCTTTCTCTAAAGCTGATGCAGATGTCTTAATAGGTCTGCCTCGAGAAGATTTTTTGGGCGTCTTTTGATCTACCTTGCTTTGTTTCTCCCCGTCTCTTGTTTCAAAATCTTTGATCATACTATTGGTAATTTTAACACCAATCGTTTTTGATTCTTGTTTTAAGTCATCTAGATCAACTGCAACAACGAAAAAATGATTTAAAATTATGACAGATGAAGGGGTTGAAAGACTTATCATTGTTCACCAATGTTCAGGGGAGTCTCTCAGCACATTCTCTAACACAGCACAGTTAAGCAATTGAAACCAATCCGATTTCAATTTGAAATTTCACCAGTAGAAACAATGAACAAAAACGAATGTGTTTTAAAGAGGAAAAAAAGATACGCGGCCAAGGCCGACACAAAGTTGCTCCTGCAGACATGGCGAATATAACCTCAGATTCTGGGGGCGCACATCACACTGACGTGAAATTTTACAGAAAATTGAAGTTAACACAGAAAACTCACCGCCTAAGCACAATACTTTGGCTTCGTAGAGGCCAACCGTTGAAGAAGAACCTTGAACCGGCAGGTACGGCCATTTGCCGAGGCAGTACGATTTTCAGCGAAGTCACTGTGATGAGCTGGGTTCAAACCGTCGTCGAACTCAGAAATACAAACTATCTTCCTGCTCCCAGACTTTTCTTTAAAGAAATTCACAAATGCTAGCGTTAATTGGGACATGATGGCTTCTTTGTTACAGAAAATGCAACGTCCCAACTCAGAATCAACGTAGAGTGCGAAGCGACGGCGGTTGGTGAGTCGAGCTGACTTCAAGTGGGAGAGAACGTTAGCATAGCAGTGCTGCCAACATCAGATTCAAATCATTGCGATATCGTTTGAAAGGTTCCGGAAACGAATGATACAGTTGAGAAATAACTGTGTTTTATCATTAATCACTGCCCGCCATTGTGTCGTGGGTGCGGGTGGCGCTGGGTGAGGCTCTTGACCCAGGGTCGTGACGGCGACACCCGGGTATTTCGAGAGTGGCGTGATTGGAAAACGCCCCCTTTCCCGCTATATCCAGAGGCAACAGAGGGGCGCGTCTCACGCGCTTTGGGTCGTGTGCGCACGACGGTGTTCAGAAAGGTTTTGCACGGGGGAAAAGAAGCACAAAATTAAAGGATTATGTGGAGGCTGAAGCAAAACGGGACGTCGCCCACGGGAATTTGTAGAAAGATGCGCCACATCCAGGGGAATTGCAGGCTGATCCTCGTGTTGACTCCATAAAGATTTCTCTTCAGGGGTAATCTGGATCTCACTGCACCTCTAGCATTTCGCCTTCCAAAAAGAAAGGAGGGTACATTCGCGTGCTGGAAGATTTGATCCGACTGTGTTTTTTATGCGGGGAGGACCTCTACTTGGTTGCCAGGCAGGCGCACCTGCAGCGCCAAGTGATTCAGTGAGGTAATGAATGAATGAGTGCTGCTGAGGTGTGGCAAGGGGGAGGGAGTGGGCGGCAGAATATGGAGTAGAGTAGCCATCAAGGCACTCCACGGGACTGCCACACACGCAACGGGTGTTCTGTTCGTTGCCTACGTAAGGGATAAATAATTCATTCTTCAAAGTGAAAAAAAGAACCTTGCAAAAAAAAATGTTGTTTACATAATTTTTGCATAGGTTTACAGCTGGAGGGCAAGAGGGAACAACGGAAAGCCACTCATCAGAGACATCTCGTGGTTAACGTGAGAACTGTGAACTACATGTCAACAACAATAAATCCAAACTAGGAAAAACAAAACCTGAATTCATAGTCTAAATAAGACACAATCATTCTGGGTTAAGCAACTTTTTAAATGGCTCGCAGAGGACCCTGCAAAAAATATGTAACTGATGATAACGCTGAGGTTCCCCAAAGAGCGAGGACTTTTTATGGCAGCCAACAAGTAAATATACTTTCATAATAAAAATCACTTTGAGAATTTTAACCCAAGCTGCTTACTTTGCTTACTTTCCCTTAGAGTAATAAAACACATTTCTGTTTAATTTGTGTCAGTTTCTACTACCATTCTATCTCCGGTGATTTATTTTTAGAGGTTTGGGGCTGAACGTGCTGGTGAGCAGCCACGAGAAGAACATGATGAACATGAGAATTTTGAGGATCAAGTTCGTATACATTTTCTGATTTTACTTATTCATCGTTTCAGAATTTCAATAACAGAAAATTAAAAAATTATTCTCATCTCAAATGCTTGTTGAACAGCTCAATCAGGAAGATGACAGCACAGAACATGACGATACTGAAGACGAGGTGTTACAAAGGCAAGGACAGCACAATGAAGTAAGTTCGTCACGAATGGGCTAGTAAATAGCTGTCATAAGTTTTCTCCTCTACAACTAAAACTGATGTCGTTTTATATTTGTAGAATCCTGTGCCCGACCCCAGAATGCCTAGAGCTGCTTTTGGGGGAGAGGAGGATGAACAATTTTTTGGAAGCAGAGCAGTATGACAATGGCCAGGTAAGAGAATTATTTACGTAAATGTGCTCAACCACTTGATTTGGGATTGATCATCTTTTTTGAAATTTCATAAAATGTATTTCAAATTCTTGAACTCTATATTTGTATTTGGGATAATGAGGCTGCCGAGGAAGGTATTGGCATGGAAGTATACCATGGTGTGGAGAATGAATCAAATCATGAGAACAAGCAAGAAATTCCTCGGCCTGAGCAGGGTGATCTAAATGAAGAGGATGCACATGCATATATTGAACATCAAGCTGCTACACAAGGACCAGGCCATCACGATGAACTGAAGAAAACCATTCGCACTGAAAGGTTTACGAGACCAATAACAGCAGAATTTATGGCCTCTCCAGCTGAGGCCCTCCTAATGACTCTGGACATGGCAGAACAAAACCAATTGACATTCAAGGCATTCGTTGACTCCGTAAAACTTCTTAATTGTTTATTTTCAGAACCTGTCACCTGTCATTCCCAACACTGTTTATATGTTGGATAAGCTTTTACATTCATCTGCTGGAATTCAAAGGCACTTTTATTGTAGCAGTTGTTCCTTTTCCTTTGGGCAGCGTGATAGCACAGTAGAACCTACATTAACATGTCCAGAACCTAAATGTAAGCATATGGACAAAATATCCGATCTTACCAAAGCAACATATCTAGTTGCCTTTCCATTACAACCACAAATTGAATTGTTGTTGAAAAACAAAGAAATAAGAGAAGCTTTACGGAATCCTAAAGAGATTTTAGAAGGTAGAAATCCAAATGAACTTAGTGATATTTATGATGGTGAAAGCTATAAAAATTTGGTAATTCTCTAGAAGATGAAGATACTGTCACTGTTATTTCACTTACTGGAAATACAGATGGCACACCTTTATTTAAACCTTAAAAGTATTCCATTTGGCCTTTCTTTGCTTCTATCAATGAGTTACCTCCTGCATGAATGAAGAACTTACTACTTGCTGGGCTTTGGTTTGGCAACAAGAAACCTCCCATGGCCCTGTACCTGTAGTAGACCATCTTACTAAATTTTCAGAAGGCTTTGCTACTGAGCTGGGTAATCCAGCTGAAGAGGTCCTTATAAAAGTTTTTATGATTGGAATCTGTGTTGACTCAGGAGCAAGAGGTGCAGTTCAGGGAATTAATAGCTATTCAGGCTACTACTCCTGCAATTGGTGTGAAATCCAGGTGACTATCTAAACAAAGTTGTGTTTCCTTTTCCTGAAATACCACCTAAGAAGAGGACCGATGAGTGTTAAGGAATATGCCAGCGAGTGTCTTACAAACCCCCAACTGGCATATGCGTATGGAGTTCAATGCCTAAGTACATTAGCTGGTCTTCCTAAATTCGATCTTGTTGGCTGAGCGATTAGCGAAGCCTATTACTCCAGTGATGATCAAAAAATTTCGCGTCTGTTTGTCTGTCTGTGCGTGTGTGTGTGTGTTTGTTTGTACGCACGATAACTCGAGAACAAATTGAGCTAGCGACCTGGGATTTTCAGGGTCGTTTTGTATCATAAAAAGACAGATCGAGTTCGAAGAAGAGCATGCTAGCTCAAAAATTGGATTTAAAAAAAATCAAAAACCACAGGTCTCTCAAATGATGTTTATTAAAAATATTTTTTTTATAGTGTCCCATTGGGTAACTCATCAAAGTAGAGCCCTATGGGCGAAAATTTTGTCCGTTTGACTCAATCTTTAACCATTTAGGCACCACAGGGAGTTTTTGACGAAAACAAGCGATAAAATGTAAAACCCTGCATGCCTAGTCGAAGTGACGGGAAATTGACGGGCCGGAGGCCCGTCTCTTTGTGTACATTTTTGCACTACCCGACTCGAGTGTCAGTGCCGCAGGCCTAGGTAGATGTATGCCAGGCGCGTCGCAGCGCAACAGTGTTTCTTGAGATATCGCGAAGCCCGTTACGCGAGACGTGGTCTGGCGTACATCTACCTAGTTAATGGAATGGTGTTTGATTATGCCCATAATATCCTTTTTGGCATAGCTCGAACAATACTTGATGAGTGGCTAACTAACACAGCCAGGGGATGCTACCGTGGTTCACCAGATGACCTTTCAGAACTTGATAGTAAAATGATAAAAAAATTACACCACCAATTGAGGTGAGAAGAGCTGTTCGAAAAATATCAGACAGAGCTCA